CTAGGCCGGGCCATTTTTGCGGGCAGGCCATGGGCGGGCTGCCAGTTGGCCGCGGGCAGGCTACGGGCAGGCCGCAGGCAGGCCGCGGGAGGGCCCAGGAGGGTCGAGGTTAATGTTCCGATCGCGCGGGCTCATGCCGGCCGCGGCGCGGGCCAGCGAGCCTTGCGTGCGGTTCAACGCCGCTCCCGGCAACAGCGGCGACCGATCGGTCGGTTCGGCTTCCCATTCAATTTTGGATCCAATTTTTGTCCCGAAAAGGTCAAATCATACGTTTTTGGGGTTCTCGGGATCATTTTTTGATGTTCCATACTCAATTTTGGCGCTTTCAAAGCTATTTGGGGCTCTTACTTGCAAGATCGAATTTCCAATCACATGGAAAATTCTCCAAAGTCTATGATGCGTATTTTTGGACTCATAGAGCTTCGACGTCCAAAATAGTGGGGCAACTGATATATCATCAAAAAATTATCTTGATCGGGAACGAATCTCGAGGCAAAATCAAGCCGGAAACTTTCAAAAATTAAATCCGAGATCACCTGAACTCCGATTTCATTGAACTTACAATCAAATTGAGCGTCTCGAAAATACGAACTCAATGACACTAAATTCGACTCAATCTGAGCCCAAATGAGTCCAAATCAAGGACCCGAAGCGCTGTTGGAAAGTTCAAACCACAATTTGAGTTACCAAACGATTTCCAAATATGAAGTTCTTATAATCGAATCGAGCGGCTCGACGAGACGAATTCAACGAGCCCAAGATTGCCGAATTCGGACATAATTTTTTTAAGTGGGTTATAATTTTTTTTGTAAATTTTTACAATCTTAGAGCATGAATTCATTAATTTAACATTAAAAAATATTTTTAAATTTTTATTAAAAAAATTATATGTTATTATAGCAACCTCAAGTTGAGGCTGACATTGATTGTATGGAATGATCACACCTTGTAATATTTTTTTTAACTTGTAATTTTGTGTCACAAAGTTTATAAAAGACTCGATAAATATTTTTGGTTGGCAGAGACTTCGACGTCCATAAATAGGGGCAAATGATACATCACTAGAAAATTCATTTGATCAAGCAAAATCTCAATGCAATAACTTGTTCGGAAACTTTCAAAATTAAATTTAGAACTATTTGAACTAAGTTTAGCAAATTTATAGTCAAACTGAACATCTTGACTAGTCGTACTCAATGAAGTCAAAAGTGATCTAATCTAAGCCTAATTGAACCCAAATCATATGCCTACAATATGATTGGAATTTTTGTTGCATTAATTAACGGACCAAGCTGTCCAAAAATTTTAAATGCTTATAGTCAAATAGTGACTTGATAAGATGAAACAAATGAGCCTAAGATCATATATTTTGAGGTTGTTAAGGGACATAAATAGTCTTTAATCAAATAATTCAATAGAAGTTGTTTGATGGAGTGTTACAGAATATTAGCCAAATTTAGTAAAATGTCACTAAAAAAATTATGAATATGCTCTCATTCTTTATACGAATGAGGATATTGTGACTTGAGTCTGTAGAAGACCCGAAGAACTTAAAAACTCCAGAGTTCTACTAGACATTCAACGCCATTGATGACATTGTACAATTGTCGTTGTTTGACCACCATCTGTCAACTATCTTTGCCTGACCATCAGTCAATCAGTATAGTTCATTCATTAAACAAAAAAGTTTCTACTAAAAAGTTGTTTCAAAAAGTAATTAGAAAGATATCCAAACAGTTTTAAAGCCTAAGTTATAGATTTTAATATTTTTAACATAATGTTCATATTGGTAAGGAGGAATTTGACAAGTTCTGAAAAAAGAAAAGAAGTGTGGGAGCACTGAGATTATTCAAGTTAGGATAACAAGGACAGAATGGCTATCTATTTGAAAGTTTATGACGTGGAGAAGGAAAACTCAGGTGCTGAATAGCGTTGATCGCCTTGCACTAACAGACTAACTTGTGCTTGTTGGATTCCTAAAATAATCTTTCGAATGTTCATATATAATTATTTTAATAACACAATATTACTTTGCTCTAATTTAATCTATTAATTATATAAAATTAATCTAAAATAATTCTTTTAGAGTTAAATTAATATTAATTTTATATAATCACAATAGTGTAAATTTTTATCCCACTGAATGAGGCCAACGTCTATGTGAATCCTTTTTTTCTCAATTGTCTCCTATTAAGAATTAAATTCTCATTTAAATTTAACAAAAAAAAATATTTTTAATACTTTATAATCAAGTCTTTTTATTAGCCTCTACCTTTCTTAATATGATCAAATCTAATGCATTTGCTCCCCAAATAGAGTCATCAAAAGGCCAGCATTTTATATGACCAAAACATCTAAGACAGCTCTCTAATCTAATTTGCCATTTGAGCTACTCCAACTTCATGCATATTCTCATTTTGCATTGACTCAAAATATAAAGCTACTCATCAATCTGAGCATCATTATCTTTGCAACAACAACAACAATCAGCTACGTGAATTTTTTTTTTATTGCCCAATTAAAAATTAAATTTTTATTTAAATCGAACAATTAGTAGAGCTACGTTCGGACGCCAATAACATGTCGCCACATGCTCTTACTCTTTACCGCGCGGCCCGACGACTTGACCCGAAGCGGAACCCAGGAATGCTATGTTCGCAATTTTCTCGATATTGCTCGGTATTGCTTTGCAAAAATGAGAAATACCGCTCTGTGAAGATCAATACCATGCAAATACCGAGTTGTACCGAGTTTTTTTACAACTCGGTACAACTTGATACAACTTAGTATTTGCTCGGTATTGCTAGGGATTTGCTCTGTATTGCTAGGTATTTGCTCGGTATTGCTAGAAAAAACTCGGTACAACTCGGTATTTGCTCGGTATTTGCTAGGTATTGCTCGGTATTGATTATTGCCGAGCAAAATCGACCAATATCTAACAATACCGAGCAATCTTGGGTCCGTTTCGGGTCGGGTTGTCGGGGCGCGCGGTAAATAATAAAAATGCGTGGCGCGATTCTACTGGCGGCCGAACGTAAAGTTGCGTACGTTCACCGGACCAAATAAAAGTTCGTGCTTTTCAAGGTCTTAGTCACTGATAAGGACTTACAAACACAAATACCTGTTAAAAAAAAATGCTGAGATTTTCTCAATAGGATCTGTGGTAACAAAGTATTATTACATAGACTACTCTCCAAAAAAAAAAAAAACTTAAAAAGAAATATAAGTTTACATTTACAGCTACATGAAAATCAATTCTAGCATAAAAAAACATGATAAAGCACTGAAAATGGCACCAAGTTATTTCTGTAATTACTAGGTTTCAGCTTGTCCAAATGGAAAAACAATTAAAATGTTCCATAAAATATATCAATAACACACCGAACTAATCACAGATGAATAAACTTTTAACATCTGACTCACACAGAAAGGCTTCAAAACAGTAGCCAATCTCAATGCACTTGCTATATAACTCTTATTGTGAAAATGATGAATTTAATCTAAATTGACTGGAGAGATCAAAAGAAAAAACAACTGTGATCTAATGACACAGTAACTCTCTCACCTAAACAACTGCCGCAGCACTCTAATTTCTCAAGAGTTTGCGAAGAAATACCACAACAAAAGTTCATTTTCCAATTCTGAATTTTACATGAAATCATAATCATCAGCTGCATCATCATAAGTTGCAGAAACCATATCATCATCTGGCTTATCCACATGCAGCTGTTTCTTCTTTGCACCTGCCAGTTCAGTGTTAACAAATACAAAGGATATTTACATACAACACTTAAAATTATATATTTACTCACGTAACACTCAATTTATTATATAGTATTAAAAAAATCTCTCATCACAAGGGGAAATTATTGGGTTCGAACACCGGACGCCATCCAGAGCCCAATGAAAATACGTCACATCACCCCCTACTCGGTACTAAGCTTGGTACTGCAGTACTGCTCAGTACCGAGCTCGGTATTGCTCGGTATTGGATAACGTGGCTGCACCTGATTGGTCTCCGGACGGTAAGTTGTGTGCGCTGTCCGAACCCAATAATTTCGCCATCACAATGGCCGGTCAAGGCGAAATCCTCTTTATCTTCACACACCATTGGTCCCATCAATGCCTTTTCCCATACGAGATCTCATCGACACTTCCTTATTTTTTCTTCGTCGTCAAGGCTCCTTCTCAGGCTATCAATTCTATTGATCCCCCAATAACCAATAAGATATAGTTGCGGCTTACTTGCATTTTCATTTTCTTCATCATCAAGGATTTTGGGATGTTTGAGTTGGAGTAGAAGGGGGAAATCAGGTAGTGTGGGATTACAAGTTAACAGAGTGGTAGTTTGATAAAAAGGAAATATTGGGTTAAATATGTAAACATGATAATTTTTTAAAGTATTAAGCGTGTAAATCTCCCAAACACAAATCAGCAACTGCAACATTAAACAGGCTTCAATAAATTCTTACCTTGTTTCTTCTTTCCAACATTGGCTTCTTTCTCGGCCTTAAGTTTCTCATTTGCAATGGCTGTTACAGAGGACGCTATCTCCTTAGCATCTGCTGTCTTCAGTGAGGTCATGGAATGCCTCATGACTGCTTTCAATAGCCCAATATAATGAAAACTTTTCTGATGAATTACAGCAATGGGTAGAGGTCATAAGAGAGGGTGCTTGCTATGTTTCTGTATGATATTTTGATCAAATTCAGAACAAAAAAAGGGTACCTCATAAGAACGAATTTTTTGAGAAAGCAGCTCCGCATACTCCATAAAATCATTCTCTGACTTTGGGATAAAATTGTCAAGAGATTTTTCATCGCCCTTTCTTGCAAACAACTCTGTTGTTGACTTGTAATCAGCCTCCTCTACAAGTCTAATAAAGAAGGTAAGTTATTAGAAAAGATCATAAGCTGACAAAATGTGCAGGGATCTGAGATGGAGAACAGGACCAAGATTTACCTTTGTTGTCGAAGTTTCTCCGCCACAGGATCTGCAAGAACATCAGCTTCTTTAATTGTCTTGGTCTCAGACGGCTTTACTTTCTTGCCAGCATCCTTGGTGGTTTTTGATACAATTTTTTTTTCTGCAACTGATTCTTTCTTCGGTGCCTGTGAAAGAACCATTAAAATACAATAGAGAAATTAGATCTGCAATTGCCAAAGTGGATATGTTCTAATTCTTGTCTCTTCCAAACCTAGCAACAGATCAGCAAACTTTGCATGAGCGACAAACTGCAAGTTTCTCCCAAAAAACCTCAGAGCCCGTTTATAAATGCAATTCAGGCACCAACGGAAGAAAAAACAAATGCAATCCAGTAAGAAGGTGCTAGCTTAAAATCAAGTTAAAACCTTAAGAGCCATCTTTTAGGGCTATAAATGAAGAGGACGACAACCCTGAGGATAAACTCACCTTTGCGGTATCATCTTCTTCATCTTCCCATGATTCTTTCACATCTTCTTCATCTACATCCTCATCATCCCACAAGCCTTTAGTTTGCTCCTTCTTAATCCCAAGCACTTTGGGTTCAAACTCTTCTTCATCTGAAATAAAAACTTTTATTGGAATGATGGAACTACACTGAATTAAGTTAAGACCTAACATCTGTACCAACAAAATCTCAGGAGAATACAAATTCGTCAACATAAATAATTTTACAAAATCAAAGCAGAGTTTCTAACAGCAAGATCTGACAGGAAGGGTAAATCAAAGAACTTATTAAAGTCTGCTCTGATGCATCAGTTTGGCTAAAATTTCTACATCTCTAAATAATTTGTCTTTGCTATGTCAGACATATCATTTTTTTTCTTAATAGCAAGCCTATTATATATAAATCATCAGAAATAATAGTTTTTGTTTTGCTTATAACCCTTTTTGCACGGCTTTTAACTTTTTTTAAAATTAAATATAGGATCCCATATATTTTTATCTGCTAATTCATACCCATCATGAGTCCCCTCACAGTTCATTCTATTAAAGAATCTGTATCCATGTGAATCACCCTCAAAAATCATCATTTCTCCTAGATATACATTCTATTAGTTTATATATCTCTTCTGATATTTGATTTTGCAAAAAATCAACTAATCCAACTCTTGCCAAATGGAGATACCTATCAATTTCATACTAAGCTGTTTTATAAGATATGTTAGTTTGTTTTATAATCCATTAAAACTATGAAATATATGAGATGCTTTGAACATAGTATATATGATCGTTTGCATACCCTTTTCTGTTAAGCAGCTAATCAACGAACATAACTTTGGAAAATATTCAAGACTCGTGGAAATTCATTAACCGAAGATTTTTAAGCTCAGAATACGAGCTTGTTCAAATAATCAATTGCAAAGATTTTTATGTTCAGAATACAATTACGACAAAAGAGCACAATACGCAGATTCAATGCAACATGAGGACGTCTAACAGATTATTGAGCAGCAAAACAAAAGATTTATTCAGTGAATGAACTGAAAAATTTAAAAAAAAAAAAAAGAAAAATTTAAAAAAAAAAAAAAAAGGTATTAACGGTAAATAGAAATCGGGCTTACCCCAATCTGCCATACTTTTTTTTATTTCACCTTGTCCAATGAAGTGCTCCCTCTAATAGCTTATGGTATAAGAACAATTCAATTATGCGAGCTAAGCCTAAAAACATATCAAGGGAAAATTAATCAAATTTATCCAAAATTTTATTATTAATAATAAAATAAATCTAATTCAATTCCCAAATATCATAAAAAACAAGCAGCCAAAAAAGAAAAAAAGCCTACAGAAGGATGAAAACCAGGTCAAGGTCCGGCAAATGTTCTATTCATTCAATGTCACAGACATAAATTTATAGTTAGGATGTATGCTTGCTTTAACATCCTCCAAGGCAAAAAAAAAAGGTGGAAATAGTAAATAGTTAGGACAGCTATTAGGATGCTGACAAAAAATAGCAGCCATGTCAATATGAATAAGTGAAAAATTAGAACAAATATCAAACATGCCAGTTTGATGCGCACAAGAAAATAAAATTTGAGTTACACGTACAGCTACGTTAGATGTTTCAGCATCAAGTACATAAAACACATTCCAAAAAAACACGATGCCTAAGGCTGACATCTAAGTGGACTACAACAGTGGCTTTAATCATCACACACGAATTAATAGATACAGAATGCTTTTAAATCTCCTCAAGGATTGTTCATCTTCAGATGCATCTGCAATTATTTAACAATTCATAATATTGCAGGCAAGAATGTACACGCCCAGACAAAATATGTATAAACATTGCTCCAAGACTTCAGATTTTTTTAGGGGCTGTTTGGTTGCCTGAATTAGGAGGGTAAAGTAAAACAACTACATGTATTTACTAAATTAAGGTGTTTGGTTAATTTTGAGCGGAACAAACGAAACCCATCCGATGCATTAGGCGTGTAATAAGGAGGCTGTTTTGCGGGAATTAGAAACCCGCTCGTATCGAGCGGGTTATAAATTCGCTGGACAATGGCGTCGTTGCTGTTCGGCTTCATTGCTTCGCAGGTGGTGTAAGATTGCACGAGAGGGTGGTGTAAGATTGCACGAGAGGGTTCTTCGGCTCCTTTGTTCTTCTCAGACTTCGCGCGACGACGACGTTCCCTTTGTCCGATCGGAAATTGCGCCATTTTCATCGGAGGTAAGGACGGGAGATCGAGTTAACATCGTCGTTGATGTTCGGCTTCATTGCTTCGCACGAGGTGTGAGATTGCACGAGGAGAAAGGGTATGGCGGAGATCGAGAACAGGAAGAAGGTGTCGCCGGAGGAGGAGCATCCCCGTAAGGCATTCGGCTTGGCGGCGAAGGATTCATCCGGCGTGCTCTCCCCCTTCAATTTCTCCAGAAGGTATCTATAATAACGTGACTAACATCCCTCCTTTTCTTTTCCATTTCGATTTATTTGTACTGTGTCAGAGAATCGATGACTAATCTGGTATTGGATGGATTGGAAGAACCCGATGAAGCTGAGCTTCAACCGGCGATGCTGTTGTTTGTTCGTCGACACCACGAGTGAGCGAGTGAGCTACAGCTATTTCGCTCTCGTATTTGTGGCCGTTCTTTATATCGTTTTTATTTTTCTCTGTTTTGGAATAGTCGGCGTTAATTCTTGAGGCTTTTCTACTTTTCTTGAGGAGTAATGATAATTGTTGCTCAAAGAGAAATGGTAAAATCATGTGAAAAAATTGAGATTAGTGGATGGTTACATAATATCTTGAAATGAAAAAATATCCCATAAAAAAACATTTTTTGTGTATAAATCTTTGCGAGTTTACATTTATATCCAAATTTGGCGTCCACTCTAGAAGAAAATGAATGAACTGTTTGATATACTATTATAGGTTTGATTTAAACAAGATTTAGCTAAAGACTTCGTTTGCAAGACTTAGAAACTGCTTTAAGAAGCACTAAGAAAGCCCTCCCAATCGAAGCCTAAATCTTATCAAACAGAATTTTGGAGGCTTCATGTGGCCGCAAGAAAACAGCCTCTAAATCCTCATGTTTTGATAAATCCTGTTTTAGCCATGTTATTGATTAAATCCAGGACATACTAAATCCTACCATTGGCAGGATTTAACGGATTTCTTCCTTTCAGAAATTTTAAATCCTAAAATAATTTATCAAGGTTTAGCACAATTTAGTTTTTGTCATTACCAAATAAGTTTAATATTTGAATGTTTACCAGATTTATCAATTTGAACTTGTAAGGTTTATTATATGCTATTTGAGTTGAATCATGCTTATATTCAATTGTCCTTGAATGAGGAAGAGAAGAATTTGGATTTTCAGAAGCTGGAAGGATTTATGTTCCTCAAACAATTATATGACAAGATTTAGTCTAAATCTTGCAATTAGCAGCCCCAAAGTAATCATATAGTGAAAGATTGATAACTCTTTATAAATCTATCATGTAATTGGATATAGTTAGATACCATTGAATTGAAATCATGATTACGTATTTTTGTTTCAGAAACTTCTATGACATAAGTAGAAGTATATTATCTATACTTATTTCCAAAAAAACAATTCAATACCATTTTTAGTTTTTCATATATAAAATTTTCCAGATCAATATTAGTCCAGTTAAAGACAATACTCAATGGCCTAAATTAAAAAGCTGTTTTAATAAGCAATAAAAAATCATCCCAAATGAAACTTTAATTGCATGGGCATGTTTAATATTATCATCTGAAATACACAAATTATAATGACAAAAAAAAATATTACAAATGCACTGTTTTTACTTTATTCTGGATATATCTAACCAAACAAAAGAAACACTTCTCCTGCGTTTATTTTGCAGACAACCAAACAGCCTCAAAGTATTTGGAATGCACTACATTTACTTTACACTGCATTTGCTTTACATTGCGTTTACTTTGCAGGCAACCAAACAGCCCCTTAGTTCATTTGTTTTTAGATGCTAGTGAAATTAAATGCAAGAGTTATTAAGTAATCGTTATTATCTATCAGATGCAATATGTTTGTGTTAGACCTGCCCACCCAGCACAAGACTGGCCCGGGCCTACACGGAGGCGGAACAACATGTGCGGCGTGATCTTGGAGATCCAACAACACCGATTAGGAAAGTTTTGAGAGAAATTTAGGAGGGAAATTTGAATATAGATGCTGTCGAGAGATTTCCTTCTGGATTATACACATTAAGGAGTACATTTTTCTAAGGTTAGGGCATGCTTTTTGTGGACTGATTTTTGGTGAGTTTTCTCGGTTCTATAGGAGTTTGGACTCTAGTTGACCACTAGAGAATTGGGAGAGCCATATCCTCCTCTCCAATTGAGGATTCTATTATATCTTTATTGTTTTCTGCATTTTTCATATATAAAGATTGTTGTGAGTTGTTGTGTGATCGTTGTATGCTGATTTTTACTTGAACCATATCCATTGTCTATCAAATTGGCATCAGAGCTTGTCGATCTATAGGGCTGCAAGCGAACCAAACGTTCGACGAGCTACTCGTTGTTCGGTTCGATTAAAGCTCGTTTGTGATCGTTTAATTAACTAAACAAACAAACTTGAATAATATTCTAAATACTCGATTCTTAAATAAACAAACTTGAACACTAATGCGTTCAGCTCATTTATGTTCGCGAACAACATCATTTGAAGTTCGTGAACAAGCTCAACATTAAGCTCGATCAAAGCTTGATTCATGTTCAATTTTGAACTCGTGAATAAGCTCGATAAAAATAATAAATATTTGACTATAAAATTAATAAATATAAATAATCATTGTCTTTGTTACATAGACAATTGCTTTTATTACAAACATGTTTGCTCAAAGATATGTTCATGAACGTGTTTGTTTGATAGTTCAAAACAATTCGTTGAATATGTTCGCGAACAAGCTTGATAAGCACTAAACGAACGAACATGAACTGAACATGAACCGAACATGAACACTCATAAATTTAAATGAACCAAACATGAACACAAATAATAAAGCTCGAACAAACATGAACCAAACTTGAACAAGCTGATATTAAATGAACACAAATATGAACACTCACATACTCAGCTTGGCTCGGTTCGTTTGCAGCCCTATCGATCTAGGGTACCAATGGCCAGAAGGAAAGTGGAAGTTTTGGAGGAGGAACTAGGCCAATTGAAATCAGATTTTGTGGAAAAAATTTATAATTTTGAAGGCTAATTTGCATCAGTCCATAAGAAGATAGATGGGAGTTCGCCGACATGGAAAAAATGTTGAAAAATTTATTGGAACCCTAATCCGCTTATGGGAAGGAAAGAACAGAGCCTGTCTCTAGGGATGAGATGAATATTGGGTATAAGAAAAAGGGTGTTGATTTTGCAAGAAGAGGGGTAGATTATGAGCATAGGGGTGCTGATTTTGAAAGGAGTAGACGAGATTTTGAATAAGGATTTGGGTACAAGCGCAAAGGGGAAGATCAGGATGCTTGGGAGTACCTACCTTTTGGGGAATGGGAGGCTACGGAGGATTCAGGGGAAACGGAGACGATCCAAAGGGTAAGGAAGCTGAAGATGCCTATCTGTGATGTCGAGGACGCTCAGGAGGTGGATCTATAAGGTAGAGAGGTATTTCGCCGTCAACCAGTTGATAGAGGAGGACAAATTGATGAAGACTGGTCTATTTTTGGAAGGGAAAGCATTGACTTGATACTAGTGGAAGAACATGTGGCGACCCATTAGGAGATAGAGGGAGTTAAAGGAATGCTTACTAGAACGTTTTCGAACCAATAGGAGAGGGTACTTCTATGAGTAATTCCTCGCCCTAACGCAGGAGGGTTCTGTTGTAGAGTATCGTGATAGGTTTGAGTACCTAGCTAGCCGATTGGATCGGCTTTCTAAGGCGATGCTGGAGGGGAACTTCATAAAGGGACTCAAGCCCGAGATCCGAGTGGCTGTTAGAATGATGAGGTCGCGTGACTTAGGAGAGGCTATGGAGCTTGTGCAGTAGGTGGAGGATCAAAAGTAATTGGAAAGGGGAGCCAAAATGCAGCAGCTCAGAAGGCTTGTACAGGATGACCACCACTATCTTAGCTCCCAAGGGACCAACACTAGGAAGCCTACGTGAGGCCCTAAAAGAGAAGCTTAGAGGAGGGGGATTCATAGGAAACTTTAAAAATCTCACT